TTTTTTCTAAGTAGGAGAAAATATTATAATGCACAACAGCAGCAATATCTAAAGTACTTTCGACCTGTTTATATGCAAAATATTTAGGATCATTAAAGCTTTGATAACCGACAACAATCAGCATAAATGGGAGGAACCTGAAGGAAACAACTTCTTTCACCTACCTGGGAAGCATCGTTTCAACTACAGGAGGAACTGACGAGGATATCAAAGCCAGAATCGGAAAAGCAAGACAAGTTTTCATTTCTCTCAAGTCTATGTGGAGGTCAACAGCATTCAGCGTCAAAAATAAGATCCGTATTTTCAACTCCAATGTGAAGTCAGTACTACTATACGGATCAGAGACTTGGCGTGTCACAAAGAGCACCTCAAACAAGCTACAGACCTTCATTAACAAATGCCTTCGCTCAATACTCAAGATCAAATGGCCGGAGAGGATCAGCAACAAAGATCTCTGGGAGCGAACCAACCAGGAACCGATCGTGAAACAAATAGGCAGGAAGAAATGGAGATGGATTGGACACACTCTGGGGAAACCAGCAAGTGACATCACTAGACAAGCCCTCAAGTGGAACCCGAAAGGGAAGCGACGAGTTGGTCGTCCAAAGGTGACCTGGAGGAGATCATGTGAAGAGGAATTGAAAGCGTGTGGGCAGACTTGGAGCCAGGTGAAAACTACAGCAGAGAACCGAACGCAATGGAGACGCATGGCTGAAGCCCTATGTTCCTCTAGGAATTAAAGGAAATAATAATAAATAATAATAAAGCTTCTCAAGGAAGGTTGAAAGTTGGGTAAAAGTAATTTCTCCATTAATTTCAAATAAAAGAGGAGTTATTTCATTAGGTCTGAATTTAAGATTCATTCTAGTACCGGGTACCGGGATACTTTTAATTTCTTTCCATACAATGGGTACAAAATTACTGGAAAAAGAAGCATTGAAAATTTTGGTAAGATGACACCATAAGATATCCACATATCTTCCGAGGACACCATCAGGACCAAGGCATTGTGAAGTTTTTAGAGAATTGGGACATTTGAGAGAATCAGGAGTATTAAAACTGTGAAAGTTAATAACCTTATGATTTATAACATTAGGAATGATAAGGTCAACAGGAGAGTGTATGTAAGGCCTGTTAAGAGTATTTACACCAAAAGAGGGGACAACAGTACTTCACTTACCACCACCAGTAATTTCATTGAAAAGCTTGATATGACATCATAATTTATGTGACAACATTAATGTATTTTGTGTCCTTAAAATACTGATTGCTTTATGCCTTTATTGGACTTGTGAAACGTGCATCATTTGGATTCGATGGGTAAATAAGTTTTAGAATAATGTTAAAGCGATGAATGTTGCTTGCTTAGTCATATCTAAGCAGCAGGCTTCAGAGTTAAACGTACAAAATTCATAGTAGCATATGTGGATTATTAAATTAGAAATGCTTCGTCTTTACTAATATCCTAGTGACGTCCATTCTAACTGGTGTAATTTTGGGAGATGCCATAACACCGCCCTGTATTTTATATACCAAAGCCATAAAGTACATAATATGCCTTCGCAAAATTTCTTTATTTACAGACAGTTTAACCTTTGACCTTAGTAAGAAAAAGTAAAAATGTCGGGTTTTATCAGATAATGTATGCTGTTTTCTGCCTCTATTTTTAAGGATTTTTACTGAAATTCATCTTAATTTTATTTATTTTTTTATATTTTTGATTACAGCTTGATGCCACACCGTATTTTCAGTACAAGTATGGCATTTTCAGCATGGATATCGGTAGCCCAAATTTTGCAGGCCGACCATAGATATCAGGTGTGCGTCGGCGGGGATCGAACCCCGAACCATGTACATGGTCGGCGGGAGTCCCAACCACTGTGCCACCGACGCACAGTCTAATTTCAAAGCTAATTTTTAAAGAAAATAGAGAAAAACAACCTACATGGATCCTGAAGAAATATAAAAGTCAGAAGTCCCCGTTACCATACAAAGTCTGAACATCCTGGTAATTCTGTGAATTCAGCATTCTCAGCGAATTCCTGTTTGTTGATCTAATGCCAGGTTTTAACCACTTAAATCATAGCTTGAAGAGATCCTATGCTCCTTCAACTGTTTTTACTCATCTTTACGTATCCAGAATAGGAAGTTAGTGTATCAAGTAGAGAACTGTTAGAACTATCACATCAGCTTTTCAGACTAGGCCATTTTACAGGCCTCGGAGTGCAATAAGATTTGTATACAAAGGGTAGACAGAAAAGCCTAGAAGATTTGTATTCCACAGACAGTCTATGTCTAACGTTGCACAAACTCGTAGATTTACAATCGAAAACCAACGAGTTGGTAGAAGAGGTAGGGAAGGCAAGAATTTAGGTAAACATAGAGAAGATAGAAGTGATGAAGACACCGAACCAACAGCAACAAGCATCAACAGGAGAAATCTAAGAGAAGTCGTCCTTTTCACTTACTTCGACGGCTTTGTTTTAACTGTAATCCACTTGGATGAAGGCATCAAAGCCACACAGTGTGGAGTCTGTAACCGTACGATTGTACATTCTTTTGTTAGATGTTGAAATTAGATATTGTACATGACTTTTGTTTAAAACGATTCATGCTGGAATAACTTCCGAGTACAATCTGAAGTACAGTGCGTTGCTGGTCGTGTCGCCTTCTCATTAGTGTATACTGTCTACTTGTTTCACTACTAACAGTGTTGTATATTTTGGACTTTGCAAGAGCATCCCATCCTTATCCGAAGGCTATTCTACAATCGGTTCACAGCTTCTACCAGTAGACACGACTCCAGCAGTGAGCACTTCTGTGGATTATATTAATAATTAGTAGCAGTGAACTTTAACTGTATAACCAAGTAACCCTATTAATTTATATAACTCATTGCTGTATTTTTTTTATAATATACTGTTACACTATCATCTCATTAACTTGGATTTTTATTCAAATACTTGTTCTGTTACTGAGCTCCCTAGGAAGTCCCCTACAACAGGATTGGAAAAACAAAACATGCTTTCATTACTCTAAAATCAATGTTATGTGGAGATCTACTGCTCTCAGCACATGGAACAAGATTTGAATTTACAGAACTAATATCGAGTCAGTCAGCTTTTCTATATATATATATATCTCAGCGACACGATGCATGCGTCACGGAATGCATTTCCAGCAGGCTACTCAACTTCTATCAACATCAACATCTTCCCTGGTTTGATGCTGAAGATCGAATGGCCAGCCAGCTAGACAAGCAACACAGAACTATGTCAGGCAGTGAATTATCCAAAAGCCTATTACTGAACGATTATGATGAATGAAATGCAGATGGACTGAAAATACTCTGAAGAGAAATTCAAGTGACATCATGCTGCAGACACGCCTCTAAGTGAAATCCGAATGGGAAGTGACGAGTTCGGCATCCTAGGGTACCATGAAGGAGCTTACAGGTAGCTGTGGAGCAAGCTGAAAGTGACGGCAGTGAACCGGGGACGCAAGGAATGAATGAATAAATAATAATAATAACAATAACAATAGATTTAGTTAAACTACTTTTCATGCATAAGATCTTTTTGTGTATTTTATTAATTAGCGTCATTATTATTGTTCCCTTGGGTTCGTAGTGTAACATAGGGCTTCAACTACACGTCTCCACTTGCTTCTGTCTTCTGCTGTACTTTTCACCTGAATCCATGTTAGTCCATACTGTTTCAGCTCCTCTTCACACGATCTCCTCCATGTCACCCTTGGACGTCCAACTCGTCGCTTCCCTTTCGGGTTCCACTCGAGCGTTGGCCTGACGCGCGATGTCACCCAGCGGCCTCCTCAGCTCAGCGAATGTCCAATCCATCTCCACTTTCTCCTGCATATTTGTTGGGCGATTGGTTCTTGTTTTGTTTGTTCCCATAGTTTCTTGTTGGTGATTCTTTCCAGCTATCTGATCTTCACTATGGAGCGAAGACAGTTGGTGATAAAGGTCTGCAACAGGCTGTTGGAATTATTCTTTGTGACCCGCCAAGTTTCTGATCCGTATGGAAGAACTGACTTGACGTTTGTATTGAAAATCCGAATTTTGTTGTTGATGCTGAGTGACGAAGATTTCCAGATTGGTTTCAGGTTGATGAATGTGTTTTTCGCCTTCCCGATTCTCGATTTGATATCTTCGTCCGTTCCTCCTGTGGTTGAGACAATGCTCCCTAGATAAGTGAATGAAGTAACCTATTTCAAATCCCTCCCGTTGATGGTGATTGGTGCCGGATGTTGCTGCTGCTGTTGTTGTTGTTGGTTGGTTAGTTTCATAACCTCCGTCTTGTCTATGTTCACCTGGAGTCCTGTCTTTGCTGCTTCTTCAACCAACCAGTTTGTCGGTTTTCGCTTGTAAGTCTACGATTTTGTGTGACATCAAGCATAAATCATCCGCGAAATTCAGGTCTTCTAGATACTTCACGTCGGTCCAGGATATCCCTGTCTTCTCGTTTCCCACTGTCTGACGCATAATCCAGTCCATCACAATTAATTAGTGTGCAGTTTTGCAATTTAGCAGGCCTAGCATGCCGGTATTTTTAATATAATCCAACTACCGAAGAATTTATATTTCCGCCAATCATTTTGAAGCTGGCGATATTTTAAATTGTTTTTCTTCAATCGTAATGCTAACTAAAGTGAAACACGTATTTCGATTACATTTGTAATTGTGAAGTTTGATGGTTTAGGTGTGTCTTTGTCTGTTTTGGTTTTTGATAAGTAGTGATGAAGAAAACAAGAGTTTTTGTCTCTGGAATAATAATAATAACAATAATAATAGTTGTTCTGTAAGGTATAACATTTTTGATTCTGGCGCATATTTCTTCATAACCAGTTAAGACAAAAACTTGTTAAGTAAGTTTTACTGATTGAATATTGAACAATCCAACATCCACATTTTTTATTGTTGCTGTTGTTGTTTTGTTATTCTTAACCAATTAAATAATGCAATGTAACACCTTAAGTGTCATGTAACATTTATTAACCAATTAGATTTCATTGTGTCCTTCAAAGTGTATTTATAGAACAAAACAATCTTATCTTATAATATATAATTCTGATTTATTATTATTACTGAGATTGCACTATTTTGCTTTTCTGTGATACAATTGTCAAAAACAGATGGAAAATATAACAAAAAATTACTATTAGCTAAGGATGCCGAAACTGATTGTTCGAGAAAACATGTAAGTGTGCAGATTGACATTAATTCACATTTCATGATCGTTTATATATATATATATATATATATATATAGCTATTAAACCCTTGATTTTATGTATAAGTACATTTTCTATTTCTTTTAATTAAACTGTTTTGTGACAGAATTTCACTCTATTATAAACAGTTTTCCGCGGATAGATTTTAGCTTGATGTCAACATCATTGGTCATATGATTCGTTTGTTTCTTGCTTTAAACACAAGTATAATCAATATCACAGTCAAGGTTGTATACAGTCTTTAAGAATTCTTATATCTTATCTCCAAAAGATGACAGCTCAGCTGCTTCAGAGCAATGAAAACCTGATTAATAAAAAATATTTTCAAGTTATGGTTTGCGGAGATTTGACTGAGTGATTTGCAATTAATAGTGTTCTCTGAGCTGGTTGGTTTAGTTGCGGAGCTTTCGTCGTCCTACTGGAAAACATCTCCAGCGTAATATTTAGCATAAAGTGAAATGATTTGAATTTCTTTATGAGTGATATATTTGCGTCTCCCGGTAACCATCTTTACATCCGTATTGACCATTTTCTATTGACTTGGATTTTAAACTTTCTGGTCACCTGATTTACATTTTATTAGTTGGTATATTTCGTCTATATTAACGTCCTTGTTAATTGCATTTTCGTTTGAGTACCAGGCTTCTAGGAATTCCCTGATTGCACTTTCGGTGTTCCCTCTGTCTAAGATTATGACATTATCCCAATCAAATTGATGACCATAATTGTCTATATGCATTGATACTAACGAATATATATCGTGTCTTTTCACGGCTGATTTGTGATCTTGGATTCTAATTCGAAGGGGACGCCCACTTTGGCCGATGTAATGCTTGTTGCAGTTCATACAATTTATTTTGTAAATGGTATTAATTTTATCCCCTTTTTCTGTTGGATCTTTCGGTTTGCATAACATCGAATTAAGCGATTCGACTGGTTTGTGTGCTATATTCATTTCAAACGGTTTCAGTATTCTAGCTGTTATTTCAGAGATATTTTTCATGTATGGTAGAATAAATTTTCTTGTGGTCTTTGATGATGGCTTTTTGTTGATGTTGTGATTCGACTTTAAACACTTTTTGATGAAATTTTGTGGATAACCATTCTTTTTGAAGACGGTTTGTAGGTATTTTCTTCCATTCTTTTCAACTCTGGAGTGCTACAATGTGTTAGTCCACGAACTGATAACAGTTAGAGAAGTAGTGGAAACCAGGAAGTAGTGGAGTGCTGTTTTCGTCCTTGGACTAACTAAAGTCAGTGAGTGATCAAGCTTGAAGTCAATCAAATCCTTCGAAGTGAAAACTTGAAATTAATCAGGTTGTTCATTGTCGACAGAAGTTCCATTGGGAAGTGGTGACCAGTGGCATCTACCAAGCTGAAAGTGAGAACAAATACTCACCAATAACACTTGTTGGTAGTCTCGCTATGTGTCGCGACTTATCAGGAGCTAGAATTGATGAGTCGTTGGACTTCATCCCAGTATCTGATTGGTATACGAGCTGGTCTTGTAACCTGGAGGTCCAGAGTTCTATCTCTGGTGAGGTCATGGGCACGTGCTGACGAAGAGTCTCGGACAAGGACAAAACGATGTCCTTTACTCCCTGGTTTTCAGTTGTTCTCCATTACGAGCAGGATCCACCAGGTTGAATGTGAGGATAAATATTCACGATAGGATTGGCTAGATGTCACGTTATATAAATCGCGAATTTGCAATAGTTGGAATTAATAGGCCGTTAGGATTCATCCCACTGGCTGAATGGTTAATGAACTCACTTTGTAACTTGGAGGTCGTCGTGGTGTGCATTGATGAAGATCCGCAAAGCAAGAAGAAGCGGCTCTCTGGTACTCCATAATTTTTAATAGTTCTCTATCTGATATCAATCTGTGATCAGTCTTGAAATGAACAATCTTTCAAAAGTCGAATCAAATTCTCAGTTGCCTTAGACTATTTGATCACTTATTTCATAAGGCAATTTTTTCTCTAATGTTAGAACAAGGTTGAAAATAAGAAATTCGACTTATTAACTAACTCCTAGTGGATATATTTAAAAAAAATTAAAAATAATGCTTTGTGTATTCTCTTCGGTTTTCCCTTTGAATTTAGCAAAAGAAGGTTTTATTTAATACAAACTAATTTTTAATGGTCATGATCAACTTGTTCACTTGCCTTCTATTGTCATTAAGACCAGTAATCCCGTCTCACTGTTATTTCTTAGTAATAATAATCATAATAATATGCTTGTTACTCAAAAAAGTGTTAGAAAGTCTTTTAGGCGTAACATTTACCAATTTAAATACTGTTTACTGGGGAAGTTTCCCTTTAAATAATATTACATACAAAGTGAATGTTATGCCTTCAACAGCTAACGTACATATTCTAATTCTATTCATTGAAAATTTGATGCTGTCACCACGTGACAGCTTCGGTGCCAAAAAGAAATCAAAGTACATCACGAGTTGATCATGGATTGATATCAGTTAGAGAACCGTTGAAAACCAGTAGGGAGTACTAGATAGCTGTCTCATCCTAGTTTGGGAATCATCACCAGTAGTAACACTGGGGTTCGAACCCAGGACCTTCCGGTTACAAAGCAACCTCGTATACCATTCAGCCACTAGGATCCGATTCAATAGCTACCGCATGAAGTCTAACTTCTACCAATTCGTGATTTAACGCGACCCCAACCGATGTTGTCTGTGGGATATCCATCCACACACATGACATCTGGATGGACCACACTGGTCACGACTTCTCATTAGAACTACAGGACGGAGTTTCCTGGAGTGGGTGCATACTGCCGATGATTCCCAAACTAGGATCAAACAGCTGTCTAGTACTCCCTTGTGGTTTTCAATGGTTCTTTAACCGATATCAATGCGTGATTATTTCGTAAAAACAAAACTAGTCCTTACAAACCAACTATAGAAAAAGTACATTAATTAGGCTTTTTGAGGGAGTCAAAAACAATGTCGTGGTGTTTATTTTGTGGTGTAAACCAGTGTTTATTTATTTTTAAAAGAAGAGGGAACAATTGTGGTTTCAATAAATTCAGTTAGACACATTTGTTTAAATCAAGTTCACTTTTAATAGTTTGAAAAAATTTAGGGATTGTGGAAATAATATTCATTATTATAAAGGTTTTTTGTATTTCCCAATGAATGAAAAACAAAACGATACTGCTCTTACTGACGTTTCGCTATTCAATGCCAGTAGTTTTATCAAAGTATTATTAAACCAGAATTTACAAAATCTCAGTTTATATATAACAATTTGATCATCGTTCCTCAGCATGGGGTAATTTTTATGTTATCAAGTTGGCCAACTGGTAAAGATAACAAAATCGTGTGTAGATTGTTGGATCTGATAAGTGTATGAAATTATAAAAGCAGCGCGTATTTACATAATGAAATTGCTTATGACATTCGTGTTGATTTTGTCATTTCATGAGGAAGGGAGGTGTTGTAACCAGGTCAGATTCCGTTTAAGTCCACCAATCCTATTCAGACAATTTGGATTCCATTTGATATGAAATGCTTCTGATGATGTGAGACGTTCTTTGTGATTTCTGAAACTTTTCTGGATTATTTCAATAATTTCAGAATCAATTTCGTGGCCTGATTCTATAGCATGTAGACCTATGGTTGATGATTTTTCAAGTTTCCCTAGTTCATTTGGATTTTTCAGTGGTCGAATAGATGCACTACGGTGTTCATTTATTCTGATTTCGATTTATCGAGATGTTTGTCTGGTGTATATGGCATTACATTCCAAGCATTTTATTTTATGGACACAATTATATAAAGAAGCTTTGCGGATTCGGTCTTTTATATGGACAAGGTTGCTTTGCAGTGTGTCTGATGTTTTGAAGAAAACTCTAAAGTCGAGCTGATTGAGTATTCTTCTGATATCGTCTGACGTCTCTGCTCTATGTGGAATAACAACTGTTGAGGCCCATGTTTTCGGAATCCGTTTTCGACCATGCTTAATGTCAGTGTCGATTTCGTCGATGAAGTTGGTTTTGTAGTTGTTTTGATAGAGAGTCTCAGTAATGTTTGATATTTCTTCTTCTTTTTCTTTCTTATCCGTTATCAAAGAGTGTAGTCATCTAAGAAGACTTGGAACAAGCGATGCCTTTGCGCTGATGGGATGTGATGATCTGAAGTCTAAATATTTGTTGGAGTGGGTTTTTTCCTGAATATGGATATAATGAAATGTCCGTCTTCTCTCCTCTTAAGTAGGCAGTCCAGAAGTGTTAGTTCACCGACGTCTGACTCTGCTTTCGGAGTAAACTGGATTCCGGGAGATAGATTGTTCCGTTTCTCCAAGAATGAACTGTGTAGATCTCGTTTTAGATCTACAAAAGTATCATCTACACATCTTAAAAAACAGAATCGTTTTGTTTTTAATTCATGGGGAAATACAAAAAACCTTTATTATGATGAATATTAAGCCTAACACTTGTTTAGCGCAGATGGAATAAAGAAATCCATTGAGGAAATAGTGCCTTTATTCATTTCTTATTAATAGTGAAAACTTATTTAATAAACGGTTATGGTTGTTTTAGGACACTGTTTATTCCAAGTAAAGTTTTCTGGGTTTCTTTCACTCCAAACCTTGATGGACTAAAATGTTCGATCTCTAATAAAATTATCAAATCCAACATCAGTGAAAACAATATCGTTTTGTTTTTCATTCATTGGGAAATGTAAAATATTTTACAATACTAAATATCAATTCAACACAAATTGCGCTTATATCAGAAAGTGTACTGTGGTACGCGTATAGGACGCGATAATAGTAGTAGTTCTCTGTAATTATTCTTGTTCTTTAAAAGATATTATGATATTCAAGTCACTAGAATTTTTAATTTAGTGGATGGTGACTGTCGACAGAATCCAGAGTGGGACTCGTCAACTGGGTGCACCTGCAATCCCTAGTTAGTAATAGTGTTCCCCCCTGAGACTTG